AGATTTCATGCAAAGTGCACCTAATGTTATCACAAGTGAAATTTCGATTCTAAGGGAGTTCGATGTAATCCTTCTCAAGAGTATCATATGAAATTTTTTCTACTCCCGATATGTTAAGACTATCCCTCATTTTCTTTTGGCATGATCCAAGTTACGATACGTAAACGTAATGTTATTCCATAAATGATTCTACTCTTAGCAGTTAAGGATATCTTTGTTATTCATTCCGGTAAAGTTATATTCAAGTATGTCTAAGTATGTCCCTAAGTCCCTAATGAGGTATATGATATATATGTTAATGTTTATAATATAGTGATATATGTACATGCATCTTCATGTCCCTAAGTCCCTAATGAGGTATATGATATAGATGTTAATGTTTATAATATAGTGATATATGTACATGCAACTTCATGCGTTTACCACCGTGCTATGGCCGATCGGGCAGTTACCACCTGTTGGGCAGTTACGTATCATTATTTACCACCGCTTGGGCAGTCATGCATATTCATTTACCATCGAGCAATGGTTGGTCGGGTATTCATGTATTTACTACTGAGCTATGGCCGGTTGGGCAGTTATGCATTTACCACCGCGCTACGACCGGTCAGGCAGTTACCACTGATCAGTTGGGCAGTCATGCATCATACGAAATGGATAATAGAAATAGTCTTAAAAAGAAGCACTATGTATTTAAGTATAATAAGTATGCATATACGGTAGCAATTCAGGTTGATTCTTATATGTCTTTAATTAATGTTGACTTATTGTTATATTTCAGTTATGCCATATATACTCAGTACATTATTTGTACTGACGTCCTTTGTTGGGGACGCTGTATTCATCCCTGCAGGTATAGATAATCAGTTTGACGAGCCCTTATAGAAGACGAGATTGGCATTCAGCGAAGGATCGGAAAGACTCTACCTCATTCGGAGTGCAGCCGAGTCTATGAGTCTTTATGTCAGAGTTTTTCTACAGACTTATGGGTAGGCCGGTACCTTGTCTCATTTGATGTCAAATAATCCTAGAGACTTTGTAAATAGAGGTTCATTTTGTACAGTATGTTAGAGGCCTTAACGGCCCATATGTATTCATGATTTAAGAACGATAGTTTCTTGATACAGTGCTGCACACTTATAGTTATACATTACGAGTTATGTCCATGTTGGACCATGATAGTTACAGAAGAAAATAATGAGTTACAGGGTGGTTCGCCCGGGCCAGTACGACACCGGGTGCCAGCCACTCCTCCCCAGGTTTGGGGCGTGACAAAGTTATATCACAGCAGGTCGTGTCCTATGGAGTCTGCAAAGTCGTGCCTAGTAGAGTCTTACGTATGGGTGTGTTGCACGCCACAGTTATAATTGAGAGGCTATAGGGCATTTAGGAAATGTTACCCTTCTTTTGTTTCCATATCGTGCCATAGAGCTAAGCCATAAGAAGTCAGTATAAACATTCCACCGAATTTGGTATGCACCAGAGTTGGTATAACAATAGAGCTTTAAGGCGTAGATGTAATTTCTACTTATGTGGAAGGAAAGTTATGAAAGAAACAGAAGATACGATGCGAGATTGAATAGTAAGTAAGGTAAAGGTGAAGAAGATACGAGATATTCAAGTACAAGAGATTGTGAATAGTCGAGACTTCAAATAGAGATTGGATTTTAGTTTAGTTTACAGAGGAGACCCTAGAGAAAGTTTTTGTAAATCTCTAAGAGTTAAAATTCGAGGATGAATGTTTTAAAGGGGGGAAGGATGTTACATTCCGTAATTTAATATTAGAATTAATCGTAGTAATCCATATGAGCTAGAAGGGATTAAGACCATTCATGAGATTATAAAAGATTTGCGACAATGTTATTGTAAGACTCCGTAAGTTTAACAACCTTGATATCGTTATATACATTTTATTATGGTATTTATTTTGAGTAGAATATTTATTGTAGAACAATGTTTAAAAAGTATGATTTAATATAGTTATTAATATTACTACTTTCGAAAATGCTTTAAATTATACACATAATATAAGAAGGTTTATGAGATTTTCTTTGTTGTAAAGATAGAAATTATTTTCTCACAAGAAAATAAGGTTATGTTTTTACCATTTTAAGAATTAAGCGTACGAAAATTTGTACTATTTATACGAGATTAGCAAAATTAGTATTTGAGTAAATATATGTATTTTTACATGGATGTTTTCATGGAATAATAGTGTATGTATTGATTTTATATGGTACCACATGACCACGATTGTAGGGTACACAAAGTATATTAAAAATGAGTAGAATTTTAAGTAAGTTGAGATAATTCTTAATTATGTGAATAATTGAGTAATTAATAATTTTTAGTGGAAGATTAATTAATTAATTCAATATTTTGGTTAAGCTTGCCCGTATCCAAAACGTGGCAGCCCCCTTTTAATGTATGATGACTCTTAAGTCATTGTAGAGTAAGGTGGCATTTAGAGAATAGTTTGGTAGGGGATAACTCACTATGATACAATCACCCTCTTGTTAATTAAGGAAAATGCTTAGCTAACACATGGAACTCTCATTCATAAGGGGGAAAGATTCAACAACGCTAAAGCCGCAATAGCAACGAAATCGATTCGTAGATTTCATACAAAGTGTACCTAATGTTATCACAACGTGAAATTTCGATTCTAAGGGAGTTTGGTGCAATTCTTCTCAAGAGTATCATATGAATTTTTTCCCTACTCTCGATATATTAAGACTATCCCTCATTTTATTTTGGCATGATCCAAGTTACGATATGTAAACGTAATGTTATTCCATAAATGGTTCTACTATTAGCAGTTAAGGATATCTATATTATTTATTTTGGTAAAGTTATATTCAAGTATGTCTAAGTATGTCCCTAAGTCCCTAATGAAGTATATGATATAGATATTAATGTTTATAATATAGTGATATATGTACATGCATCTTCATGCGTTTACCATCGTGCTACGACCGGTCGGGAAGTTACCACCGGTTGGGATGTTACGTATCATTATTTACCACCGGTTGGGCAGTTATGCATTTACCATCGCGCTACGGTCGGTCGGTCAGTTACCACTGATCAGTTGGGCAGTCATGCATCATACGAAATGGATAATAGAAATAGTCTCAAAGAGAAGCACTATGTATGTAAGTATAATAAGTATGCATATACGGTGGCAATTCAGGTTGATTCTTATATGTCTTTAATTAATGCTGACTTATTGTTATGTTTCAGTTCTGCTTTACATACTCAGTACATGATTCGTAGTGACGTCCTTTTGTTGGGGACGCTGCATTCATGCCTGCAGGTGTAGATAATCAGTTTGACGAGCCCTCATAGTAAACGAGATTGGCATTCAGTGAAGGATCGGTAAGACTCTACCTCATACGGAGTGTAGTCGAGTCTTTGAGTCATCGAGTCAGAGTTTTTCTATAGATTTATGGGTAGGCCGGTATCCTGTCCCATTGATGTCAAATAATCAAAGAGGCTTTGTAGACAGAGGTTCATTTTGTACAGTATGTTAGAGGCCTTAACGGCCCATATGTATTCATGTTTTAAGAACGATAGTTTCTTGATATAGTGTTGCCCACTTATAGTTATAAATTACGAGTTATGGCCATGTTTGCCCATGATAGTTGTAGAAGAAAAATATGAGTTACAGAGTGATTCACTCGGGCAAGTACGGTACCGGGTGCTAGCCACGCCTCCCCAGGTGACAAAGTGGTATCAGAGCAGGTCGTGTCCTAGGGAGTCTACAAAGCTGTGCCTAGTAAAGTCTCATGTATGGGTATGTTGCGCGCCACATTTATAATTGAGAGGGTATAAGAAATTTAGAAAATGTTACCCTTCTTTTGTTTGCATATCGTGCCATAGAGCTAAGCCGTAAGAAGTCAGTATAACGATTCCACCGAATTTGGTATGCACCAGAGGTGCTATAACAATAGAGCTTAAAGGCGTAGATGTAATTTCTACTTATGTGGAAGGGAAGTTATGAAAGAAACAGAAGATACGATGCGAGATTATATGGTAAGTAAGGTAAAGGTGAAGAAGATACGAGATATTCAAGTACAAGAGATTGTGAATAGTCGAGACTTCAGATAGAGGTTGGATTTTAGTTTAGTTTATAGAGGAGATCCTAGAGAAAATTTTTGTAAATCTCTAAGAGTTAATATTCGAGGATGAATGTTTTAAAGAGGGGAAGGATGTTACATCCCGTAATTTAATATTAGAATTAGTCGTAGTAATTCATATGAGCTAGAAGGGATTAAGACCATTCATGAGATTATAAAGGATTTGCGACTATGTTATTGTAAGACTCCGTAAGTTTAACAACATTGATACCGTTATATATATTTTGATATTGTATTTATTTTGAGTGGAACATTTATTATAGAACAATGTTTAAAAAGTAAGATTTTATATAGTTATTAATATTACTACTTTTGAAAATGCTTTAAATTATACACATAATATAAGAAGGTTTATGAGATTTTCTTTATTGTAAAGAAAGAAATTATTTTCTCACAAGAAAAAAAAGTTATCTTTTTACTATTTTAAGAATTAAGCATACGAAAATTTGTACTCTTTATACGAGATTAGTAAAATTAGAAGTTGAGTGAATATATTTATTTTTACATGGATATTTTAATGGAATAATAGTGTACGTATTGATTTTATATGGTACCACATGACCACGATAGTAGGGTACATAAAGTATATTAAAAGTGAGTAGTATTTTACGTAAGTTGAGATAATTTTTAATTATATGAATAATTGGATAATTAATAATTTTTAGTGGAAGATTAATTAATTAATTCAATATTTTGGATAAGCTTGTCCGCATCCAAAACTTGGCAGCCCCCTTTTAATGTAAGAAGACTATTAAGTCATTGTAGAGTAAGGTGGCATTTAGAGAATAGTTTGGTAGGGGACAACTCACTATGATACAACCACCCTATAGTTAATTATGGAAAATGCTTAGCTAACATACGGAACTCTCATTCTTAAGGGGGAAAGATTCAGCAACGCAATAGCAACGAAATCGATTCGAAGATTTCATACAAAGTGTACCTAATGTTATCACAACGTGAAATTTCGATTCTAAGGGATTTCGGTTTAATTCTTCTCAAGAGTATCATACGGATTTTTTCCTATTCTCGGTATGTTAAGACTATCCCTCATTTTCTTTTGGTATGATCCAAATAACGATACGTAAACGTAATGTTATTCCATAAATAGTTCTACTCTTAGTAGTTAAGGATATCTATGTTATTCATTCCGGTAAAGTTATATTCAAGTATGTCTAAGTATGTCCCTAATGAGGTATATGATATAGATGTTAATGTTTATAATATAGTGATATATGTACATGCATCTTCATGCGTTTACCACCGTGCTACGGCCGGTCCGGCAGTTACCACCGGTTGGGCAGTTATGTATCATTATTTACCACCGGTTGAGCAGTCAAGCATATTCATTTACCACCGAGCTACGATTGGTAGGGCAGTCATGCATTTACCACCGAGCTGCGGCCGGTTGGGCGGTTATGCATTTACCACCGCGCTAAGGCCGATCGGGCTGTTACCACTGATTAGTTGGGCAATCATGCATCATACGAAATGGATGATAGAAATAGTCTCAAAGAGAAGCACTATGTATGTAAGTATAATAAGTATGCATATACGGTAGCAATTTAGGTTGATTCTTATATGTCTTTAATTAATGTTGACTTATTGTTATGTTTCAGTTCTGCCTTACATACTCAGTACATTATTCGTACTGACGTCCTTTTGTTGGGGACGCTGTATTCATGCCTGCAGGTATAGATAATCAGTTTGGCGAGCCTTCATAGTAGACGAGACTGACATTCAGCGAAGGATCGGTAAGACTCCAGCTCATTCGGAGTGCGACCGAGTGTATGAGTCATCGTGTCAAAGTTTTTCTACAGACTTATGGTTAGGCTGGTACCCTGTCCAATTTGATGTCAAATAATTCTAGAGGCTTTGTAGACAGAGGTTCATTTTGTACAGTATGTTAGAGGCCTTAACGGCCCATATATATTCTTGTTTTAAGAACGATAGCTTTTTGATACAGTGTTGCCCACTTATAGTTATACATTACGAGTTATGGCCATGTTGGCCCATGATAGTTGCAGAAGAAAAAAATGAGTTACCAAGTGGTTCGCTCGGGCTAGTACGCCACCGGGTTCCAGCCACGCCTCTCCAGGTTTGGGATGTGACAAAGTGGTATCAGAGCAGCTCGTGTCCTAGGTAGTCTGCAAAGCCGTGCCTAGTAGAGTTGCATGTGTGTGTGTGTTGCGTGCCACATTTATAATTGAGAGGATATAGGGCATTTAGGAAATGCTACCCTTCTTTTGTTTCCATATCGTTCCATAGAGCTAAGCCGTAAGAAGTCAGTATAAAGATTCCACCGAATTTGGTATGCACCAGAGGTTCTATAACAATAGAGCTTTAAGGCATAGATATAATTTATACTTATGTGGAAGGGAAGTTATGAAAGAAACAGAAGATACAATGCGAGATCGAAAGGTAAGTAAGGTAAAGGTGAAGAAGATACGAGATATTAAAGTACAAGAGATTGTGAATAGTCGAGACTTCAGATAGAGGTTGGATTTTAGTTTAATTTACAGAGTAGACCCTAGAGAAAATATTTGTAAATCTCTAAGAGTTAACATTAGAGGACGAATATTTTAATGGGGAGGAGGATGTTACATCCCGTAATTTTATATTAGAATTAGTCGTAGTAATCTATATGAGCTAGAAGGGATTAAGACCATTCATGAGATTATAAAGAATTTGCGACTATGTTATTGTAAGACTCCGTAAGTTTAACAACCTTGATATCGTTATATACATTTTTATATGGTATTTATTTTGAGTGGAACATTTATTGTAGAACAATGTTTAAAAAGTATAATTTTATATAGTTATTAATATTACTACTTTCGAAAATGCTTTAAATTATACATATAATATAAAAAGGTTTATGAGATTTCCTTTATTGTAAAGATAGCAATTATTTTCTCACAAGAAAAAAAGATTATATTTTTACCATTTTAAAATTAAGCGTACGAAAATTTGTACTCTTTATACGAGATTAGCAAAATTAGAAGTTGAGTAAATATATGTATTTTTATATGTATGTTTTAATAGAATAATAGTGTATGTATTGATTTTATATGGTACCACATGACCACGATAGTAGGGTACATAAAGTATATTATAGTGAGTAGTATTTTAAGTAAGTTGAGATAATTCGTAATTATATGAATAATTAGATAATTAATGATTTTTTGTGGAAGATTAATTAATTAATTCAATATTTTGGATAACCTTGCCCGCATCCAAAACGTGGCAGCCCCTTTTAATGTAAGATGACTCTTAAGTCATTGTAGAGTAAGGTGGCATTAAGAGAATAGTTTGGTAGGGGACAACTCACTATGACACAATCACCCTCTAGTTAATTAAGGAAAATGCTTAGCTAACACATGGAACTCTCATTCCTAAGGGGGAAAGATTCAGCAACGCTAATGTTGCAATAGCAACGAAATCGATTCGATGATTTTTTACAAAGTGTACCTAATGTTATCACAACGTGAAATTTTGATTCTGAGGGAGTTCGGTGCAATCCTTCTCAAGAGTATTATACGAATTTTTTCCTACTTCCGGTATATTAATATTATCCCTCATTTTCTTTTGGCATGATCCAAGTAACGATATGTAAACGTAATGTTATTCCATAAAAGGTTTGACTCTTAGCAGTTAAGGATATGTATGTTATTTATTCTGGTAAAGTTATATTCAAGTATGTCTAAATATGTCCCTAAGTCCCTAATAAGGTATATGATATAGATGTTGATGTTTATAATATAGTGATATATATACATGTATCTTCATGCGTTTACCACCGTGCTACGGCTGGTCAGGCAGTTACCACCAGTTGGGCAGTTACGTATCATTATTTACCACCGGTTGGGCAGTCATGCATATTCATTTACCACCGAGCTATGGTTGGTCGAGTAGTCATGCATTTACTACCGAGTTACGGTCGATTTGGCATTTATGCAGTTATCACCATACTACGGCCGGTCGGGCAGTTACCACTGATCAGTTGGGCAGTCATGTATGATACGAAATGGATAATGGAAATAGTCTCAAAGAGAATCATTATGTATGTAAGTATAATAAGTATGCATATATGGTGACAATTCAGGTTGATTCTTATATGTCTTTAATTAATGTTGACTTATTGTTATGTTTCAGTTCTGTCTTACATACTCAGTACATTATTCGTACTGACGTTCTTTTGTTGGGGACGCTGCATTCATGCCTGCAGGTATAGATAATCAGTTTGACGAGCCCTCATAGTGGACGATATTGGCATTCAGCGAAGGAACGGTAAAACTCCACCTCATTTGGAGTGCAGTCGAGTCTTTGAGTAATCGTGTCAGAGTTTTTCTACAGACTTATGGGTAGGTCGGTGCCCTGTCCCATTTGATGTCAAATAATCCTAGAGGCTTTGTAGACAGAGGCTCATTTTGTACAGTATGTTTGAGGCCTTAAAGGCCCATATGTATTCATGTTTTAGGAACGATAGTTTCTTGATACAGTGTTTCCCATTTATAGTTATACATTACGAGTTATGGCCATGTTGGCCCATGTTAGTTGCAGAAGAAAAAAATGAGTTACAGAGTAATTCGCTCGGGACAGTACGGTACCTGGTGCCAGCCACGCCTCCCCAGATTTGGGGCGTGACAGTTAGGCTCTCACACACTTAGGGAAAGTTTGATACAGTTTGGGTGATTGCAGATAGACTGACCAAGGCAGCTCATTTTATTCTTGTGGTTACTACTCACTCTTCGTAGTAGCTGTATCAAGTTTACATTCGCGAGATTGTCGGAATTCATGGCGTATCGGTATCTATCATCTCTGATCGGGATACGCAGTTTACATTGCGGTTTTGGTGAGTCGTAGAGCGTGAGTTGGGTACTCGGGTGAAGTTGAGTACAACATTTCACCCTCAGACGGACGGGCAGTCGAGCGCACTATTCAGATATTAGAGGATATGTTTCGTGCGTGTGTGACGGATTTTGGGGGTACTTAGTATCAGTTCTTGCCACTTACGGAGTTTACTTAAAATAACAGTTATCAGTCAAGCATTCAGATGGCATCGTATGAGGCTTTGTATGATAGACAGTATTGGTCTCTAGTGGGTTGGTTCGAGCCGGGTAAGGCTAGGCTAATGGGTACAAATTTAGTTTAGGATGCCTTGGAAAAGGTTAAATTAATTCAGGATCGACTTCGTACAGTCTAGTCCAGGCAGAAGAGTTATGCGGATCGGAAGGTTTGCGACATTGCATTCATGATTGGAGAGCGGGTCTTGCTCCGGATTTCGACCATGAAGGGTGTTATGAGGTTCGTAAAGAAGGGCAAGTTGAGCCCTGGGTATATCGTTCCCTTTGAGATTCTTGAGAGGGTTGGAGAGGTGGCTTATAGACTTTTGCTTCCACCTAGTCTCTCTGTAGTTCATCTAGCATTCCATGTTTCCATACTCCAGAAGTATCACGACGATCCATCCCATGTGTTAGATTTCAGCTCAATCCAGTTGGACAAGGACCTATCTTATGTTGAGGAGCCGGTGGCCATTTTGGGTAGGCAGGTTCAAAAGTTGAGGTCAAAGAACATCGCTTCAGTGAAGTTTTAGTGGAGGGGTCATCCGGTCGAGGAGGCGACTTGGGAGACCGAACATGATATGCGCAGCCGTTATCCTCATCTTTTCACCACTTCAGGTATGTCTCTATACACGTTCGAGGACGAATGTTTGTTTTAAGAGGGGGAGGATGTAACGACCCGGCCGATCATTTTGAGAGTATTAGCTCTGAACCCCTATATATTGCTCCCTCTATTTCACTTTGTGGTTACGTGACTCGTTGGGAGGTTTGGTATTTGGTTTTTGGTTTCAAGGGTAGAATGGGACACATAGTCCCTAAAATGAAAGTTAAGTCGCAGGAATTGACCGTAGGTTGAACTGTGTGAAGACAGATCCGGAATGGAGTTTTGACGGTTCCAATAGTTTCGTAGGGTGATGTTTGGTCTTAGGAGCGTGTCCGGATATTGATTTGGAGGTTCGTAGGTCATTTTAGCGTTAATTGGCGAAAGATGGAAATTGGATATTTTTGGGAAGTTTGACCTGGTGTGGATTTTTTGATATCAGAGTCAGTTTTCGGTTACAGAAGTTGGAGTAGGTCTGTAATGTCAATTATGACTTGTGTGCAAAATTTGAGGTCAATCGAACTTGATTTGATAGGTTTTGACGTCGTATGTTGAAGTTTGATATTTTAAAGTTCATTAAGCTTGAATCGATGTGCAATTCGTATTTGTAGCATTGTTTGATGTGATTTAAAGACTTGACTAAGTTCATATGGTGTTTTAGGACTTGTTGATAGGTTTGGTTGAGGTCTCGGGGGTCTCGAGTGAGTTTCGAATGGTTAACAGGTCAATCAGACTTAGAACATAGCTGGGATTTTCTACCTTCTGGTGAAATCGCACCTGCGAAACTATTCTCGCAAGTGTGTTGCCGCAGGTGCGGTTGGCAAGGCGCAAAAGCGGATTTGGGGCTTGGCCTGGGGCTGTGTCGCAGGTTCATGAAGGCTTCAGCATCTGCGAGCCCGCAGGTGCGAGCGAGGTTCCGCAGATGCGAAGTGAAGGAAGGGCAGCCGGTGTCGCAGAAGCGAGGAAGCAACAGCAAAAGTGGGTCCGCAGAAGCGTACCTCTTACCCGCAGAAGCGATGGACATTTGAAACACGGGTTAAGGCGAGGTTTTGAGCAAGATTTCATGGGAAAACTTAACGTAAGTCACTTGTGATCATGGTTAGTCAATAATATTGAATTATCATTAAGTGTTTCGACTAAATTATGTGTTTTTGAGGTGAAATTCAAGGATTTGAGCCTAGGGAATTGAAAATAATATTTGAGGATTTGAAGGTCAGGTTGATGTCGGATTTTGATAAAAATTAGTATGGTTGGACTCGTGGTCGAATGGGTGTTCGGATTTGTGGCTTTTACCCGA